GATACGTAAGACCGTTTGGTCGCGAGGCTTAAGCTCAGTCTTCCGATCGGCGGAACGACACAGGTGATTACCAATTGGCAGACTGTAACGTTATTCGAACAATCGGAAGCTTAGCGGTATTAATGTTGCGCCAACGTACGAACAATTAGATACTTGAAAGGTGTACAGGTGCTCGTGTATCGAGAACCATGCAGTTACTAATTATGGAATAATATTTGTCAACTCCGGAGGCTGTCGGACTCCATCGGTTTTAATTTAGAATTAAAGCAACACGCGAGAACAACATTCCCTACAAAATGACAGGGTACGCGTCGATAAAAATGCGGATAAATGTCGACCGGTTTCGTCCGATCGGGTGACTCGTTGACGTTTCATGTTCCGCAAATTGTCGATGGCTGCGATACGACTACAACAGAGACAAAATTCTAAATGCACTGAATCGGTTAAATAACCAGAGTCGATCCGCTCTGTGGAAAGTAAGACCTCGAGGCACAGACAGGCCGATCGAACGATCGATTTTGCCTGTGCATCGTGCAGGACGTTTTCGCCCGCGGCTTCTCCGCGACGATTCCGCTCGAATCGAGACACGGTTTGCGTCCGCATCGACCACCGGACGAATTTTCGTATAAAAATAACGGCGAATAGAAATCTCTGCGGAGATCGTTGAGGAATTTTAGCAAAGTGTGGGGCGCCGGTGGTGAACGTGAGTTACGAGAAATCGATGCAAATCGACTGGCGGCTTTCTCACCGCTCTCGTTGTCGTAATTCGAACCATAGACAGTCGACGAACACCGTTTGCTTCGCGATCGCGGAATATACATACAACGTGTTAACCCTTTGCACTCCTACGTCGAGTGTGATTCGACATCAATTTTTATCTCAGGAGCTTTTTCAAGTCGAAACCAAAGAGATATCCGTACACTTGAAAGTTACAAAATGCAACAACAGTGTAAATAAAACAAATATTTTAATTTCAAATAAAACACTTAATTAAAGGCGTTGGGAGCTGCTGGTAACAAAATTGAAATATAATTCGGAGTGCAAAGGGTTAAGGATACGCGAACCAGTAAAATTTCACGATAACGTCGATATTATTGTTAACCTTTGTCGGACCAACCGTGATCCGTAATTTGTTTATCGTACGTTGCTATTAGAAGCCACGGGGGTCGGTCAATCGTCGATTATTCTCAGCCGAACTCTCACGCCATATCAGCGTCCAAATTTAAACGTCTGGAAGGAAATTTCGATCGCGAACTGCGAAAGCAAAACACGCGTGTCGCGCGATAAAAGTTATCGTCGTAGATTCATCGTTTTATTAAATTATCGATAGCAGACGACTCAAAATAAAACAAATAACATTAACATTTTGATCGATAAGAAATTGTTTATCATCTGTTATGCTTATTATCGAACGGATGACTTAACAACAATTCATCGGAGATATCGATGATTTAACCCGATGATAATCTTCCGACGTTTCAACGAGTAAACGGAGATTTATTCGAATCGAACGACAACGTTACAGATTATGTTGAATGTTCGAGAGCGAAACATTGCGACGAGACTCTGTCGTTATCGGGCATGGGAAGCTTTTGGCGAACCGGAAGTACGAACGTCATCGACGGTAGCTACGGTCGCGACACGCTGTCATTGTACGGTTACAAATCCGTCGGTGATATCAGCAGAGAAAGCGAAGAAGGGAAGTCAACCGTGGCTATCCTCTCGTATCTCTTTCAAAAGTATCAACGAAACTTGGAGAAGAAATTTAAATGCTCGAACCGGATACAGACGTTGTTAAACGTTGATCCGATACCATCGTTTGTCCCCTGGATCGCTCCACGATTCCTACGAACGAACGACGTTACTTAAATCTCTTTTTATTATTCCGATCGACGAGGTACGGGTCAATCTGGCTGGTGGTAGATCTATGAATAGCTCTAGATCTATGAAGCAATTAGTTTTAGTCATAACGCGAAGTTTTCCTCGAATTCTATTTAGCATACTGCATCGACAACTACAGTCAGGAACATTAATTTTAATACGTTCTTCGTAGATGCTAACTCCGTTGTGCCAGAGAGTTTATCCTGTTCGAATGGGAAATAAGTTATCTTGGTAACCTGTTCTCGTTTCGGAAATCGCTTTTCGCAGTCAAGGCGTAAAAAAAAACTGTCGCGAAAGAGCCCCGAGAGCGAGCATGCGCAGGCAGAAAACGTTTAATCTAGCGGCGAGGCTAGATTCGGCGAACGCGCGTGTCCGCGATAAGAATACAGTTATTTGCGGTGTCGTGAGCGGCAAATAACGTCGATGACAGCCTGCCGTGTCATCCCACGTGAGACTCGATCGGGAAAACGTTGCCACTTCGGTGTCACGGGACGAGAATATTACCGAAGGCGTCCCTGCGACGCCGCGACTCGCGTCTGACGTCACGCGCTTTCGCAGTGACGAACGAGGAAACTACCAGAAGCTTCGAATCGCCGTTTACGTCGTTGACTGATAGGAGATTCGAGGAACCGATCGTGCTAGGAATTACCGAATAGAAATCATCTTACGATCGTGAGCACGGAACACACGGTGACTCCGAAATAGTAGGCCCAGCAGTAGAGCAACACCTTGATGCACAGACCGTTTGACCAAAGAGTCGCTAAATTTACGGGTCGTTGACCCCAGATTACAATCGGAATACAAGGTTGCTGACAATGTACTTTGACTTTTTCAAAGGGTTGCTTTGTTTACGATTCCTGGGTCAACGATCCCCGCTGTCTTTGGGTCCTTTGTTGATCACCGGTATATAGTTTCTTCTTGTCCATTTCGAAAGAGTCTAAAATGAGGGAAACGAGGGAATATGCTTAAAGGGTAACTGGTGGTCGTTGGATAGTCTCTGAAAATTCTATGGCGACTAATTTGCTGAAGGGAACGTTGCTAAATATTTCGTAAAGTTTCGTGGAAGCGTCCGAGCGGGTGGACGGAGCCGCTCGAGAGCGTAAACAAGGAGACGAGAGTGGCGACGAAACGAGGTTGACCGAGCAGTCGCGAGGTCAGTGACTAAAGAGAGAAATATCGTGGAATGCGATATAGCTGCGCCGCTCTGCCTACCGACGATCTCGAGGTCCTTTTACCGAGGGGAGTCCACCACGATCGACCGTTTCTAACCTCAAACACCGACCAGCACCGCCGTTTATATTGGCTTACGAGAGCATAAGTTTCAATTTTTTCTCCGACGACGAATTGCATTTATTCGTGCTGTTAAGTACAGAGATTTCTCTCCGCTTGATACTTTGACCCTTTCGGGTGGTCGGAAATGCGCCCGTCTAGATAAGGTCGTTGCTCCCGCGATGGCGTATCGCAGATAGGAATGTCGACGATCGAGTATCGGCCACCATTATTTTAGTGCAATTTTCGAGCGTGAAACGGATGGAAAAATGTTCTTGTTAGTAGGCTACCGGTATGAGACTCATCGGAGAATGTAAACACCGATCTCCGCGGCTCATCGATGCCTCGTTACGACGCAAACAGAAAACCATGCGGTGGTACGCGTCGGTTCCTTGAATCTGACCATGAAGCATTAGAGAGGTATGCTGCGCAAAAGCCTCGGGTAGACATTAAAGCCTACCGCTATAATCCCAAGATGCAATGCACCGATCGGACCGTCGATCAATCCAAGGTGTAAACGTGAATCGGCACACTGGCAATAATATTTCGTAATTTGCTTATTTTTCATTTTATCATTAATTAATGCGTATTCAAAAGAAAACGATACTGAAATTAAGTTCATAGTACAAATGTACAGTCTCTCCTCATTATTACAAAAACAGTAAACATACCCTAATCTACGCGTTTATGTCACTTCGGCATAAACATTACGTATCTCGTTTGGTCCTGTATCGAAACGAGAGAGACAACGTTATCGTATTTGTTACAATTTCTTAATAATGTATTTATAGACATTTCGTTACGTGACATTTTAGTGGTACTTGTACTCGTGCAACAGACTGCCAAAATATCAACAGAAAATTGCGACCCAAGCTGTAACTCCATTCTCGAATAGCATTTTCAATAGCATCGAAGTTATTGGCGACTCACGATATAAATATCCTGGTTTGCGAGCCGGTGATTATATGTTAATTATGTTTGTCGTCGCGTACAATCGCTATGCAAGAAACTCAACTGTTTACAACGATACAACTTGAAACAATTTCCATGTGGTAATTTCGACATAATTATATTTTTTTTGTTGGTGGCTCCAGCCCCGATTTACTATAAAAACGACAGCAATTTCTTACATATAATTTAACGAAATTCCCACAATAATGGAGCATGTACGATAACGGTCTCCGCACGAGGACCTTACGCAGTCAAGAATCGAACGTTCGAACAACTTCGATCGCCGTTCGTTCGAGATACACTATTTGCGTCAGATTAGCGATCGATTGGTTAGCTGTTTCGTTATCTCCGATGCATCTATTACTTTCAACGTTATTCCTTGAAACGGAGTAATTGTATGATGTAACTTGGTGGTAAAATAACACTTTCTATTTTATAACGTAACGCACATGAACCAAATTGTACGGAATATTTGTCTTTCTACGTATCGTCCGTTTACACGCCGCGAGATACATTTCCAGCTCCGATCGTTATTTCGAAAGCGGACGTATCCGTAGTACGCGTCCAAGAGTAACGTGCGTGTACATCGCGACCGATTGACAGAACGCGATCAATGAGAACTGAAAGACGTTCGAAAAGCGGACGCTTAATTCGTCGGTCGTTCTGGCGCGCATTTTCGAAAGCGACGAGAAGAAGTCGGGGGAAACGGAGTCGCGAAGAATAATTCGATCGCGAGAGAGCTATCGAGGGCACGCGTTTCCCGATTTCGCGATCTTGTCGGTCGGGTGTCGCGGGTGCCGCGGTGCTCGTGCTCCGAAAATACGTCGTCACGCTACGAACACGATCGAGAAGCGCGCGCAAGAACGCGTCCGCGAAGGAGATAGAAGAAATCGACGTACCGAATTAACGCCAAGGAAGAATCCTTCGGATGCTCCTTGCGAGACGTCGTGACGCGGTGGATGCGATCGAGAGCCGATCGATGACGCTGAGAATCGGTCAACACTTTGTCAACAACAACAACAACAACAACAACAACAACACGAAACACTTGCTCCCCGTATATAAACACCCGTAACGTAATAATCACACACACGTACGTAACACATCTATAGATACACATAGAGAGAGCCAGGCAGGCAGGCAGGCAGGCAGGCAGGCAGGCAGGCAGGCAGGCAGGCAGGCAGGCAGGCAGACAGGCAGGCAGGCAGGCAGGCAGCAGGCAGCAGGCAGCCAAACAGACAGAGAACACACGAGGTGGTCCGCCGTGGTAGAGTTACACCAGAGCTCGATGAACTTCTCGTCCTTCCGACCGTACTGAATATTCCACGACACGTCGTTGTCGTGCCGTCACGGATGCACGCGCAGTCTAAACTAAACTATCCACGCCCGTGTACGGGTATGATTCACTCGGGGCGGGCTGTACCGCGCTAGTCGGAAGAAAAATCACGATCTCTCCGGGACGCAGATTCCCCGCACGAGTCGCGCACAACTTGTTTACTAGAACGCGCACCACGCCATGCCCCGTGAACGTGCGTCCGCCGCCGTGGTCCCCTCGTCCCGCTGCAAGCAAAACAAGACTCTGCGCGGTAGCCTTGCGCGCACCTTCCGGGCCATGTTCGTACGAGCCGATGTGTGCGCCGTTTCTCGTTGCCTCGTGCTCCACCAAGGCGCCTCCGTCCCCGTATACTTTAACCCCGTCTCTCTCTCACCAACTATCCCACACGTTCCCTCTCTATCCCCCCAATCCACCAGTCTCCCCCTTTCGACGTGTCACCGTCTCCCTCTCGACGCTTTTTCTCTGCCTCCCTATTGCTTTGCTTTCTGCGACTGGCTAGCACGGAGGTTGCGATCCCTTCTCTTTTCGCGAGCCTCGCCGATGCCGCTATCGCTTGGGTCCACACGATAGCCGGGCTATATCGTCCGACGAGGCATAATAATGGTCGCGTACGATTCAACGGATCTCGTCTTACGCCTTCTACGACGCAACCACGGTTCGCCACGTAACGCGTAAATCGAGCAGGTCATCGTACCTTTGCGCCGCCAACTAGTCGGTCCGTTTCTTCGGAAAATTCCGTGGATGGCACCACGTACATACAGCGACATCTGTTGCTCGAACTTACCAACGTTCGATCGTGCCGGCAATATCGATCTCTCGACTATCTTACGGTCGAGGTACCGCAATTGCCGCGGCACATTTGAATCGTTTCAAGATCAGTCACCTAAATTAACCTAACGTTTACGATACAGCGAGGTCCTTAATTTCTTCGTAAATATGTAGATACATCGACACTGGGTGAACTATTTCTGTCTACGGCACTGACCGTGTCCCAAATCCTTATCTGCGTCTGTCTGTTTATGTCGCTTGTTTCGATAGTCGATTGATGCCCGAGGAAAACTGTTACGTGGGGGAAAATGTTTCGAACAAAAGTTTTCTTTTGTTTTTACTTTTACGCGGACTCGTAGGTGATCGATACTTTCTCGAATATAGAAGTTTCTACTTGCCGTTCGGCCACCGTTTCGTTGGAAAAGTTTTATTTTTACATTTGGCGTTGCAACTTCTACGTACGTGTAAACAAGTATAAAAACGAGTTGTGGAATCGATATTATACTACGGGTTTCGTGAATATGATATAAAAGTATTAAGAATATGATTCGTCGATGAGGATGTATCCTTCGAAATGTCTTTATGTTAGGCATCGCGATACGGAGAACAGTGCTACGAGGCCCAAAGACATAGAAACGGCGCAGACGAGCGACAGAGTGTCTCTGTTGTAATTCGGGCAAAGTTCCGGTTGCGTGCATCGCCTGAAAAGGAAAGAAAACGTAACGGGATAGTCGGCGATCCGAGATCGATCGTTAACGATGTTTGCGAAACGTAGCGTCTATTTTCTCACCACTTCTCGATAACGATAACGACCAATCCTGTGACAACCTTATCGAGAAAAGTTACGATGGAGTAAACGATGGCGCTACGCTCCGTTCGAGCACCGATTATTTCCGCGGTGACGCTCAACGCTGTGACCATCGTGATCGAGCTTCCGGCTCCGATCAGAATCGCGACGATGTAAATGATCGATGCTCTCTTTCCACCGAATTCCGTGACCAACGCGGACAGTATGCCAATAAGCGTACCCATGAAATAACATGCCTGAAAACACAAAGAATCGTCGATTTGTCCGCGACAACTCTTTTCGCGTGTATTCGCGTACCTTTGTGCCGCAAGATTTGTTTATGTACTTGAGCATTAAAGCTGCCACAAAGGAGGACACATACGAAACCAACGGAACGGTCGCCAGAGCCTCCTTTCCATCCATGTCTGTCTCTTCTATGTACAATGGCAAATACACGGTGGCCAATGTAATAAACAGCCTACTGGCCACGTATAGCATAGCCACTCTCAGTAAAATAGTTGTGCCGACCCAGGAACTTTGATTGTTCTGAGGATTACCGAGCAATCTCTTGGATTCCTCGGCGTCCCCTTTGTGCCGCTCGGGATTCTCCAAGAGATCCCCTTTCAAGAAGATATGGAAAAATATGGTAGCCAACAACCCGATGAACGTCAACGTCGACACAATATTCTGAAAGGGACAAACGTTCGTTAAGCTCGTTACGAGTCAGTGCCCGTGACCTCTTGTCCCACCGCTTACCCTAAATTTGTAACTGTCCTCTTGAGCTAGTCTAACCACAGCCTCTTCTTTCGTGGGCAGGACGATCCATGTAACGACGAACACCACTACCGCTGCTCCAACTTGGGCCGAATATCTGTTTTACGATAAACAAAGATCAGAAGAGATTGTTGAAAAGCGTCGAAGATTTTTAACGGCGCATAAGGAACAGAGATTTTTTACAAAGAGTCGCGTAGCTGTGATTAGTTTACCGTATGGCGGTCAAGTCTGCACGTGCCAACAAGGAGTTCGTCAACGCCGGGATCATGGACAAATGGGAGATTTGCACCGCCGCCCAACCAGTTTGAAACAACGCGATGCTGACTACGTAGACGAACACGACCACGCCGTTCGATGGATCGACGAAACCGCCGAAGATCACGGGGAACGTCAGTGTGACCATAACGGAGCCAATAGTGTGCCATACTTTTTTCTTCCAGTAACGGTCGACCAGCACTCCGAAGATCGGCGTTGCGAGGGCGTCCACGATTTGTCCTTAAACAATTTAGCCGCTACTAGCCGTCTGGGGGATAGTTAACAAAGTTTTTGGCGAATCGGCGGTTTACCTAGGAGCAAAAGACCGCCGGCAGCGATCGGTTTCAGCAAAGCGACTCTCTGGAAATAGATGAGAGTGTACGAGAACCACATGGCGGCCGTGAGGTCATTGAAAATGTGTCCCAACGCGTACGCGAACTTGGTGGAGGTGGCCACTTTCTGCTCCAACAGCGGCAATCGCTCAGCATCGTTCTCCATTTTTGTAAAAAAAAACCTATAAACTGCTTCGACGGTGCTCGAAGCAGCCCTCCGCAGCCGCGTTTCAGGTGAATCCGTTACGGTTATGCGAGGAATTCTTCATCTTCGAGGTTTTCCGTTCTAGAAAATTAACGAGCCGCGTGAAACGGGATGATTCGGATCGGATTACCATCGGGGTCTCGTCACCGTTTAAAATTAATCGATAAAAAATGCAGTTTAAGTCACGTAATCGACGCGTAAATGCGTTACGTGACTTTCAAAGTGACCGGATCGGGAAACTCGAGGATCGTCTATAGATTTCTTGACATACTTTGTTTTATTTTTCGAAGACATATAAACTATGTTTACGGCATACTCAAAACAGGCGAAAGAAGGCCAAATTCCAAAGATCAAGCAACCAGTTTTTACCACTTATTTGTTGCGAATTTCTTTCGAATATTATCGTACGAGTGTTTACAATTTTTTTTTTAATTTTAAAATCCAAGACGCGGAATCCGTTAAAAGCGATTGAAACTGTCGGCTCGAGAGGTTGCGGCTGGTCGTTAAATTACATAAAATATCGCTTACCATGCAGTTAATGGATCCGTTCAGTGATCGGGAACATTTACACGTAACAAAAATCACGTCGGGACGATATTCGCGGCGGTGGCGATGTATCAAAGGAAATCGCCGCGCGCAGCTTTCCTTTCACCTGCAGATAGATTTCCGCTTAAGGCTTTGCACCGGCGGGCACATGCGCCGCGGACCGAAATCTTATTAGCCTCGATACGACTCGCGATCGATCGATCGCGGGCGAAATTCTTATCCGGATAGAAACCTCGAACAACGAGTGGAAGCTCTATTATAAAATGAAATTATACTTGACGCTGTTCGTCCGAATAACCATTTAACAAAGTAAAAGCAACGAGAGCGGGTCTTTGTACTCTGTCGTGCGTTAGGTTCGCGCGTGACCGAGGAATTGACTGCGATTCATTGAAAACGTAAGCGTTACGCGTCGACAGAACGCCCTCCGCGTCTATCGCAAGGTATCGAATTCAACGCGTGTACGTTTTCATCGTATCAACTTGCATACATATTTGCAATCCCGCGATTAGCCGTTCTTCCGGCGTTTTTCCTCCGCTTATCGATCGATCGGTCCCGTGTCGGTTGTAAACGTACGACCGACTAACAAGCTTCTCGAGCAGAAACTTACTCGTTACTCCGTGAAGTAATCAACGTGATTAAACGATCGAACGTTCGCGTGTCAGGGCATTTCGAGTGCTATAGAGCGAGCGGAGCACGCGGCTGTCCGCTTCGCGTGCACCCGACAGACTGAAGTTTCAAACTCCTCGCCGTTTCCCGCTTTACGGGGCCGAAGATTATGGTTTAATCTACGGTAGCCGGGGTACGGCCTCCCCGCGATAATCGTGCAATCTTATCTGGCATCTCTTGTTAATGAAATTTTAATCCAACCACTTGTACGATCGACACGTTGATCGGTGGGTTCTTTTATCGTTGCAAACACCGGGGCTGCACGAAATGCAGTATGGAGATTCGATACCATGAAACGGCTAAAAAATTGAAATGCATTTCCTACGACGCGGGTTCTGACTGGAGGCACGAAGGCGGCTCCGATGGTAGCCCTCGTTTATAATTCCAGCCGGTAGAGGTTTTTATAGAGCAGCTATACTCGCGCGGAGGGTGAACCCTGGTGCGTAAACTCTTGCTCGAAAGACACCGAACGAACCAGCCAGCCCACGGGAACTACTTACTTCGAGTTGGGTGACGCGTTTGCGGTTCGGTGCACGACCGTGATTAATGCCAGCGTGGTGTGTGCGTTTGTTGGTGAGCGCAAGGTATCTTACAGGCGGACGGGAAAGTCTCTGTAATCCGAGCCCGCGAAGAGAAACGCAAACGGGCGCGTACAGTGTAGTAATCGATACTGAGCAAGTTCTTGTACGGTCTCTCGGTTAGGCGGTCTTGCGAGCTGCAGGCGTCGCAAGAGTTCGTTCACCGGCAGAGCCACGGACAACGCGGTATATTCATATCATACGTATATGCTTTGGATCACGATTAAAATGTCCATTTAAACGGCCCTACGTTTTTGGGGAATTCGTAAGCGTGGTTTTTTGGAAAATTATATTTATTTCAAATGAGTATACTTACACGTCGAATCAACGGCCGGATATACCATCGACGATTAATTTCATCCCCAATCTGGACGATTAAAATATTTTCACGGCACCATACATGCTGTGATTTTCAATTAATTTTCAAACGAAAACGCTTTACAATCGATAGATATTTTCTTAAAAGAATACAACGATACAAAGTTCACGCAAATGTTGCGTTTAAAATGTAGGATACCCCTCGTAAAACTAACAGCTATATGTATACATGAAATACTTCTGCACGTTAAATATAAACGACGATGAATACATTTGGGTAACTGTTTCGAGATTACTATTTTAATAATGAATTCTAACGGATTAATTTGATGGATAATTGAGACGCGAGTGGAGGATTGGCCATTTCCAGCCGAGCGACCTTTCAGGTCCTTTCTACCTCGTTTCGATGCTAACCCTTGACGTTTTGCGAAATAACCCTCGTTCTTTCGGAGGCAGCGTACTCCGTGCCTTCGAATTGTCTCAAGTGAATCTGCAAATTAAAGGTTTCACTTTTACGCGACGTAGTAAATCTAATTGCATGGTGAATATAAACGATACGGTACCTGTAAATGTAAATTCACTTCTGCGGACCGACTCAAATACGGAAAGTTCCCGCCAGTCTTCAGGTGCGCCAACTTGGCGTTCGGATAGCATTTGTACATCTTTTCCCTCGCCGAATTCGATAAGGCGTAGTCGTCGAAAACGTCTATAATCGTGACGGGCAAATGATATATCATCTGCGGCTGCACGTAACAATTTACGCAATTCATCGTTAGCCGAGACGCCAATTGCAATTGCGGTAAGCTTTTCATCTGCGAGTGAAAAAAATGATTTGCAAACGTTCCCCTATTACGCAGGATAGCTATGGAAAATCGACTTACTCGTTTCGCAATGAAATTTATGGATTCGACGATCTCGCCGTCGATCTTTTTCTTATCGAAATTCATCATTAACATTTGTCTCAACATAAACGACGGCAGTATCCAAAATCTACGATTCGAATTGATTACCAGTAGTTTCGCGCAAAATGTTTCAGATAACGTGTCGCGTTCTGTTATTCGTCCACTTATCTATAACTGCGACGAAGCGCAGGTTATAGTGTTGTCGAGAGTCGCGTAAAATTCCATGACAAAACAATTGTACTCACACTGCCGCGGAATCGTTGGACTTAAATATCGATGTGTCGGCGAACGTGTTGCAGAGCACCAACGACACTATCCTAGGGCAGTGAGCGTTAATCTCGGCAAATTTCTGTGCTAAGAACCCCCCTACGAGTAAACGTTACAATTGAAATTATGCGTTCCACTGAACATTATCGAACGAATATTGTGCACTCGTTCCTACGTTCTGACCTAATGAAGCACCGAACAGGTGCACTTTATCCAGCCCCATGTAGTCTAAAAGTTTTCGGAATCCATCGCACCATTCCTTAACGTCCCAATACACCGGTGACTCGACCTTAAGTGAAAATTACACGTCAATAGAAATGTACAGATTTCGCGAGAGAATCGACCGGTCGCGATGCCAACGATGCTCACCGATATGATTCTGTACCCTTTCGCCGACAACCCTAATATTTGTCTAAAGAAAATGTCCGCTGTTCCGCTAGCCGGTGGAAGACATATTAGCGGGCACTTGATGGTTTTTGGACTGGAATCGTATACCTTCCATCCCTAAAATATCAAAATTAAATTAAACAATCTCGTTCAAACACGACCAAGCAATTTTTGTTCCGCTTCTAACGAGATTTTCGATTAAAATATGTACATATATCGATTGTCAAATCGATTATCCGCCGTGGAATATTTCAAATTCGAAACATTGTCCGTGGAACGTTATTGCCACGAAGATGATTCGTCGAATTAACATAATCTGAAACGTCTGGCTATCACTTTCTTGCGAACACTGGTTCGCTGACGTCCTCGAACGCTGTATTTATTTACATTATTACGATCGCAGTAGCGAGGACATCGCTACCAGTTACGATTCTTGAAAACGATCTTACCCGATCAACGTGTTCGAATTAAAAACTCAAACCGTACGTACGATCAACGATTACTACAAATAATAATAATAATAAGAACGATACTTGTTTCTACACTGCTTGAACAGCGAGTAACTTTGATCGATGCGTAGTACGAATCTGTAGCGTGATAGATGCAATTTAGAATGTAAAGAAATTAACGAGCCTTACCTGCATACTATCGACGTCGATGGCTATTTTCCTCAGTGGGATTGAACTACGAAAACTAAGGTACTCGTCCGATCGAGACAAATCACTCGAACACGACATTTTTCCCCCCCCCTCGCGTCACTGTCGATTGCACGGTTATCAGAACTGCTCGCGATCAGTGTAACCGATATCTGGAAAGGCAGACAAAGATGGAAAAAACGAGATATGGATTATCCGGTATTTAGGATTTCGTTAAAGATTCACGTAGTTGTTCGAAACAGTGATCACGAAGCAGGCAACAATTCGTTTATAGTTGTGCGTTGGAAGAGTGCACGATAGTTGAAATAAAAATCTGTTATGTGGATCGAACTTACCTCAAGACCGGGTTATGGCATCGATGATACTCTTTATATTCTGGCCCGCAGCGGATATCTTTGATTATTGTAGGTTTTGTTGAGAAACATTAGTTATCCAGTAACCTCGGAGGTCAAATCGTATTATTAACACTCATTCGTTTGATTAGACCGACAGTGCCGTGAGTTTATGCACTTTATGCCCTTTTTGGAGCAGCGTCGCACATTATCTTTAGTACTCTTTGCTCAGGTCCGTAGCATTATTAACGGAGATAGCTTCGAGCATGCGTACAGATTACCATTTGTCTCTCTTGCATCGGTAACGTCGTAGTGGAATTTTCTCCAGTTACATTCTCGCTTATGCCATAAACTAAGCATAGTCAGAGACAGGAAATCCTACCCTCGTTCGTGCCTTTTACCATAGATTAGATACGATACAGACTAGAAAGTCGATTCAATTTTCTGTTCTGCCACTAAGAGGACTAAAGAGAACTCGAGCAGACACTCTTTACCATTTTCGTGCCATATCCAATGTTACTGATTCGTTTGAATTTTAATAAGAAACCTCTATTTACTGCTACCTTAAACTGTTTTATTTGCAATACCGAATAAACTTTATGAAGTTATAATACCCTTATAATTGTTCAAGCAAACAGTACTTAATTTTATATACGCTGTTATTATTACACTCGTTGCAGCTGTGTACACCTAACCTAACTTTCCGTACACATATTACAGGCACAATGGGAGGGGGATTAAAGAGTAAAAATTGAAAGTCATATTTTTGGCCAATTTCTCCTATGCTCTTGCATACAACAATTGAAACATAATTAGACCACAGACGAGGTACATTTACGAGTATGTAGACCTTTCACCTGATGGACTTTCGCGGTCGAATCTCACTGCCATACCGACCTGACAATTCGAAGGTGATTTTACCGTCCTCTTCTCATGGATGGCGGTCAGTTGAGAAACTACTGAATTAGTATTGATAGTCAGACAGCTGTAGTGTGTACGTAAATACGTGTGAGTTGACTATGGAAGGGATGTTGATAACGTTGCGAGTGACACGGAAATGGTAATGAGAAACGAACCGAAAAAATACATTAGGTGAAAGGTCTACTCGTATACCTCGTCTGTGATTAGACATTATCTAGCGTACATGGTTGTTTTCAGTACGATTCAGTAAGACGAGTTTTATCATTACGACGCCACGAACTGAAGTACCGACCTCATAAAAACTCTATGGTGGTAGGCGACCTCTACGTTTAAAGAACGACGAATCCAGGAACTATTCGTAGCTCCTCCCCCAAAATCGGTAAAGTTAGCAAACGTAGAAAAGTGTCACAGGGTATGCAGCAGATCTTTGTATTTATTTCGACAATGTAACATTACGATTATCTTAAAGTTTTTGGTCATATGTTAACTATCGAATAATATACTTTTGAGATTCACATCGAAGTTAGTTGCGTTCTCAATTCAATAATATTATAGTTATGGAGAAATTCTAAGAAATTTTTACTGGAGAGATTTTACTCGTTATGTCACGCATGATTGTCCCGTTACAAACACACCATAAGCCTGTTTACATTAACTATGCGTAACCTAAAACTCTAAAACCAAAGATTACGTTAACAGGCATTGGATAGGAGTCCATTTTGGATACGCAGATTTAATAAAGCTTATATTTAATAACGAAAAGGAGAAAATGCGCAGGAAAAATTCCATTTAAAATGTTGTCTTGGTTTAGCCATCCTCTCTTAAGTATTTGCGCACCATGGCTACGCACTGGCAGTCGCGGCAAATATTTGCACAGCCCGCAAAGGAGGGTCGCAACCACCTACTCATGCAGGGGTGTGGCATCGCTACTCGTGTAGCTACAAGTGTATTCGTAAGTGTCCGATATACCCCCGAGTACCTCTCTACTAACCTACCATCTGCAAGATTAACGATCTCGACGCTTTCATGGTATTGCTTTGGGGTATTCGCAGCTCGGTTTCCCGCCTCCTTTCTCATTTTCATCCCCACCATATCCATCGCTCCGGAATTTTCCTACCAGCGACGTTACACCTACATACGACACGATACGAATTACTCTCGAATTTTTGTTTCGTTCTACTGGTAGCGTTTGGTCGACTTTATTTTTCATCGTCTTCGAACACTCTAATGTTTTCCAGTTAAACGTTCACGGAAGGGTACGAGCGTCGGAAATAGCAAAAGACGAGGTTCGCAGGTACCGTTATAGAGCGAAAGAAAGGGCTCTGGTTCGCCCGGGGTATATATATATATGTATATTAGCGGACCTGCCACTCGGGAAAAGAGGGCGACGGTTGATTTTTCACCCCCTCGTGGTCGACGTTCAGGAGACGTCCAAGCCTGAACGTAAACGCAGGGAACCGACTCGCCCCGGAATTCGTTTAATTTCGCACGCGAAGTAAGAAGAGAGCGGACGGTTCCTCGACGATCACGTGGAAACGAAAAGTCACGCCGCTGCACAGAGATCGATTTTTCAAGTCTAGCTGGACTAAATTCAATTCCTACGTTTCCCAGAAAATTGTTCGAGCATCGATGTTTCTCTTAAAAAGGAGTACGATATGGTTCGAAAGCGTAGAAAGGAAGCACCAGCTATTTGTCGTAATATCGACGGATATCTTTGCCGTTTGAACTTTTTACCATTTTCCGTTCGTCGTGGCAGATTGACGATAATTAACCGCGATTCATTCGCCTATAATACGATCCGTGCGCGTGCATCGCGGGCATTTATCAGCCGCGATTAATCGAAGCTTTCAAGAGTCACGGGTACGAAACTCACGGCGTTTACATTGGCGGAGGCTCGAGTCATTAATAACCGATACCGAGAGGCTTCGTTCCTGTCCCGCGTTAATTCGACGTATCGAATCGAACGACACACCGGCGCGCTCGTTAATCTTCTTCCCCAATCCGTCACTCGAAGCGATTTATTTAAGGAACGAATGCACGCGCGTTGTCTCTCTTTCCTTCCTTCTTCTTCACCGCTTTATTAGGCTTCGTTTGCGACTCGCGCGAAACCAAACGCACTGGCTAAACTTAATTAATGCGAGGGCACCATTGGCGACGCTACGGGACCGATGAATTATCGTCGCGGGGACGCGTCCCTGAATATTACCCATTTCCGACGCCATTTTCCGTTTCGCGAAAGCCCTTGAAAAAATGCTGCCGGCGAACAATACTCTTGTATTAAAATTCGTTTGGTCGTGGCAAACTAAATGACAAATGGGTGCAATTTATAGAGTGCACCGAACAAGCTGATTTATACGTTCGTCAAAATTGTGAAAGCGAATAACCCATAGATACGTAATTAACGTCGGTCCTTTTCTTCTTGGAAAATTTGATTTATATTTAGTTTTATCGTAGCAACAGCGTTTAGTACCCTTGTTCGTGCTTAATATTATAATTTAGTTTAATAAATAATTTAATCTCTTCAAAGATAAATGTGTGTTCCCATCGACCCCATGCCGCGTTACAACTGCCCCGAGGTGAGGATTGCAACGCTTTCTCCGCTTCTCGATTTTTATCAATAGCTTGCGTATTACCTACTATAGATTCTCAGCGTAATGCTCGACGAGTTAAAGTCGAAACAGTTGATCTATTTTTCGGGAACGAAAATAAGCAAGGTAGCTCCGAAAAATTGTAGAATTTGTCCGGGATTTTAGTCGAAGGTACTTCTCAGGATCGAACGTGGGTTAAAACAAGCGGACGTTTAAGCGTTAATGAACTCCGAGGAAAGGCAGAATTTTCCCAAAGTTTCGATGGCACTTTGTGTATCGCTTCTATTACCGAGAGGTTAACTGCACGAGGATTTTAGAACACGGCTATAAATACCTGTAATAAAGCGCGCGATCATTAATCTTCGACGGTAATTTCGGTTTGCAGTGGCGACATTCACCGTCTCCTTTGCTCTTCTTTCCGCTCCCTCGTCATCCCTGGCATCCCTTACGTTTCACCCTCTCCTCGTCGCTCTCGCGCATGCCACCCGGTGGATCCTGCTCGTTCCCGTACTTTCTAGGATAATTAATGATCCTAAAAGCGATCTACTCACGGTTGTCTCGTTTCGGGGCAATCATTCTCCGTTTCGCTCGCCATCGCCCGTAACCCGTGCGCCTTTTCTCAGCGCGAACTGATACGGGGCTCCGTTTAATTGCTCAAACATCCAAAGCATTCTCGTGCTTTTCGTTGTCGACGAAACTTTTCGATGTCCAACGAAATGCAACATCGCGGAACTGGAGCACGTAGGTACTCTTGGATGCAAACCGACGCAATTGTCGGTAAGGTAAAGGTAAGGACGTACAGAAATGTAATTAATTAATATGCGAGGACTTCGTTAAAAGGAACGTCCAACGGATAACGAGCAAATTGAAATCGAAAGTCGCTTCGCAGGCTTTGAAAAACGTCAGTTTTCGAAAGGTCGCGACAAGTTTGGTCCAACGGCAAAGGATTACCGTCCGCCGAAGGAGTTGGGTGGAAACGGAAGAGGGGAACGCGTACGAATTTGCATAGACGGTCCAGGTGCCGCGACGTCTTCGGCCAGTCTTCTCACCCGTCGATCTCTAATTATCTGGAAACAGGAAAAAACCACCGACCCCCCATAATAAACGAATATTTTCATGACAATCGAGCGTAAGAGAGGCGCGTCGGGAGATGCTCGACGAGCATTATCTCACCTTGGCTAATTCCTTCGGCGCAAGTTGCTCGCTCAGCTTCCCGATCCATCGACAACTGTCCTCTCATCTCTCGCTCTCTCCGTGGCCAGCCGTTTCGCGCGTTTCCTCTCTGTCGCGCCGGGTGAATACGGAAGCGACGAAAGCTGGAATTTCCGGTTGATTCGGCACGCTAACGATGGGGTGGTTCAACACCCCGTCGGGACCACGAAGGACTTACGCGACGATCCCCCTATTGTCAATCTTTTTGCCGCAATCTGCTCCTCGATTTGCACAATAATGGACACGCACCGGCGAACACCAAATTAGCAGAGAGAAGCCGTTGAATCGCTCGCGCGAACACGCGTTCCTCGGTCCGAGCTTCGACGCGATTTCTTCGATTTCGATCGCGCCTCGAAATTCTCCGGACGGCTTAGAGAATGGGGGAGAGAGAGAAAGAGAGAGAGAGAGAGAGAGAGAGAGAGGGAGAGGGAAAGAAGGAGGAGAAAAGGAGAAACGCGAGGAAACAAACGCAAGGGGAATTGATCGCGTTCCGAGAAACCAACTCGTCGAGAAACGGAATCGACTGCCTCGGAAGGTATAATAAAGCGAGATCATTTGCATTATTCTAATGGCTGGCTGGGTTCCACGTACGGTTCTGCGATTTCTCGAGTAAACTCCATTCGAAAGCCTCGTCCAATCGGCGGCCCCCGAGCGCCCTACGAAACGAAAATCCTCAAACCGCGAAAAACCTTCGCGATCGCTAACCGGTAATTGCTTCCACGCCGTCCCAGATACCCGCGGATCGATTCCGCGAACCGAAAACCTCTCCACTTTGGACATCCGTTCTTGCATCGCAATATTTAATCGCGGCTAACAAGATGGCGGTGGCGTGCAGGCCACCCGGTCGGGCTATAAAATCGCGATGGGGCACCGTAATAGTTAAGTTACGTTCAAGGTACATCCTTGTACGGCGACGCGCGTCTATTTATCGACGACACTACGTCTACGTTAGGCGAGGAACACCGACATGCAGAGAGAGGTACGCGCAAGAAGAAGGTCGGAGCACGATCGTCGATAGGTAGAACGGAGAAAGGATGAGCAAACGAATGATCCCCGTGGCTAGGCCTGAGAATTGTCAATCGGAGGTGCCAAGAAACGAGAGAATGTCCCGAGGCGCGGCTTCTCAAACATCCTACCTCCGCGATTCCTCCACGGACCGAGTGCAGTTACGGTCTCGATCGTCCCCGGAAACGACAGCTATCTTTTCTCGGTCGTTGTTTATTTCGATAAGCCGATCGCTTGATATTTAGCAGACTCGAAGATCGAGATAACCGAAAATGGAGGGTAATGGCGCGTAGCGTATTTACTAAAAGCCGCTGGTCAGAGTCTAATTCCGGAAACCCGGGTTAATCTCTCGACCGTCGGTTAATGTGCCCGGGGATTCCGTAATACGACGAAAGTCGGTGCCCTCGCGGCTACCTCGGCTTCCCTGCCACAATTTTTCGATTACGGTCGAGCATACGGGCGGACGCGCCTCGAACACGTGCGCGCGTTACGTGGTTTCAGGTGCTGGTCGACGTCCACGGTAAAATTGATAACGACGTGAACTTCCTACAAAATATATATCGGCGAAGCATTAACGCCATTGCGATAATTAACGATCGACGATGAAAATTTTCCGTTCCCGGTAAAAGTCTTCGATAACCGAGAGCTTCTGCTTCGTCCACGGAGGGACAAAGTCGTATAAAAGTTTGGGAATCGTAATGGTTCCAAGGTGAAATAGGACCGTCGGTAGGTCCGGTGACCTTCCGAGAATTACCGTAACGGACAATGACTACCTACCGCCTCGGAGATTCGAAGGGCACCGACGAATCAACCGACGCTTTACCAAATGTCTTATTAGGGACTCGCAAACCGAGGTGGTCGAATCGAAGAAAGATCCCGCTCTCGTGCACGACTCGATGCACAAAAGACGCGAACGATTTTGAGGATGTCGAGGAACTTTCTTGCTTCTGGACGATATTTACCCCCGGCTCGTCCAAGCGAACGAAATCGTAAATCGCGAGGAGTAAATCGTGCATCGTCCGTGGCGTGCAATTATCTCGCGGTTGGTCCGCGAGGTCACAGGGGCGGATCTTAACTGCGGCTCGGCTCGTTCCGCGCGTAGATCCATATACCCTTATAAAGGATCGCGTTTGTAAATCATAAAATTCGCAGTTTCACACGGTCTCGACTTCGGCCAGCCCTTCCTCCCCTCCGCCCCACCCGTCCCGCCGTCCCGCCGTCCCCTGCGAAGGTGGAGAGCCCTCTCCGTGGGCTGCAATTACCTGCAATTTGTACTACGAGCACCGTATACGCCATCTTGGCTGTATATGTGACGTGAGCGCATGCAGATGCGCGCGTACAAACGCCGACAACCGGAGGACGAGGCGAAACTGGAAGAGGAGAAGCTACCAACTGATCCTGGGGGGAACCAGAGGGAACCAGAGGGAACCAGAGGGAACCAGAGGGAACCAGAGACCACGAAACAAGAGCGAACGAGAAAGAGTTTAAGAGGGTTGGATACGTTCACCGCAAACATTACTCTTCGTATATTGTAGCGACGCTTCTGCGTATTCGTGTACTTGTACGCCCGATCCATTCTTCTTAATTTTCCTTAAACGCTTCCGTTAACTAAACGATCACGCGGTCGGGACACTTGCTGGCCATGCAACGGCGAAGTACAGACTGAAAAACTTTAAGTTTAATACGAACCATTCGACTCTGTAGTTGTCTTCTGCGTTCGACGTTCCCATTCACCTTTTCTCTCGGTACGCGATTCATCTTCTTTCGACGGTCAGAACGAAGGTGGACAGAGACGGTACTATTGATAATAGACCAGTATTCGTCGCACAGATACGAAGGACACGCCATGACACAAGTCTATTTTCGTTCGGTATCGTATCGCTTTTGCGCGGTTCCTCGACCGTGAATTCACATCAGAGACACACGCGCGTAACCAGAGGAAACTGTTTACAAATGAATACATAGTCGGATGCGCGCGATGCATCCGTGTTCACGGTTACCTAATTCTGCGTGTAGAATAAGCGCGTTTACAAATGTACGGGCCATTCTCGATACCAAACCCTGCGTTAGTGCACGTAATCAGGCTCGTGATAAGGCAAGGACAGACCTAAAAAGGATTTAGGGGGGGTGTTAGGGAAGGCCACAATGTTTTCACAACGATGCCAAGACGACCATAGGAGAGCTCTTTTATCGCGTATTAGTAACCAAGGTCTGTCGGGTCGAAGCACGTTATGTTTGTATCGCGAAAACTGATCTTCTTGGAAAGTGGAAAGGGAGGTCTCGTGACGATCTGGAGAGAGGATCTTTCAAAGCGCAGCGAGGATCGTTGCAATCATGGTCAATTACCTTACGCCGTTGTGTTTTCCGGCTGGTGCACGAGAGCGGTAATGAAAAAGGCAAGTAGAGTAGCAATTTCCTCGGACATTTCCATCGAATTATCAATCACCCTCGAGGACTCGAACGAGGTAACGAGCGACTCGGTGATCGTTATTGTTACAGCGACACGGCCGCGATTGCATCCATTAATAATCGATTCTCTCGCGAGCAGAACTGACAATCGATTATTAACCTTTCTACCAATAACCAAAATACTCAACAACGAGTCAGATATAAAGTAATGATTTTGCTTCCATGCTTTCTCCAAATCCGACGATCGAATAGACTATCCACGGATATTTTAAGATCAAACAGGGTTGAAAAGTAGCGATTTGGTTCGGTTTGGGTAGGTGTAGCGCGTACACGCATACGTCAGGGGCAAAGATCGCGCTCAGATCCCCGGATAAAACAGTAAGCGAGAACGCGACCCCGGGCCCGGTCGGCGCAACGAGGGAAATCCCATGCAACCGCACCGAAAATCTGCGTCTCGGAGCTCGGGTTGAAAACGCACAGAGGTCGTTATCCGATAGGGTGGTCGAAAAATAAAGAATGCGCGGCAGAGGGGGTGTCGCGGGGTGTAAAGAGAACGAAAGGGAGAAGTTCGGCGAGAGACAAAGAGGTACGGTCAGAGGGGAGGTGTCGATACCGGGCGTGACCATCGGTTTACCACCTACCGCAACCCGATACGCGGTGCGAGTCGACGGCGTTGGCGTCCTAGGCCTCCGCCCACTGGATGCTATTCCGCCTGCTCGCCAGCTCGTCCTGTCAGCCAGCAAACACTCGAACCCTCTTCCGAAGCGTGCGCGAGTAGAGGGGACTGCGCAGTGCGAGCGAGGTTCGAAGCGCCAGATCGCAAGGGGACGCGAGTGTGCGCGCGTCAGCTCCGTCTTCTCACGTTCCATCGTTTCTCTCGATTGCCGGTCCGTTTTCGTTTCCGTTTCGCGCGATCGGTTCCGGTGAACGTGCTTTCGCCGATCGTTTCGCGTAACGCGGTCTTGGAGCGACGGTCTCGCGTGGTCGCGATGCCGATCACAGTCCGAGGAAACAGCAGGAGCTCGCGCGCCTAACTCTCCGATATCGGTAATCGGTTCGTTCGCGCGTCTCGCGACACACCCGTTCGTCATCCTGTCCTTCTTCCTTCTCTCTTCCTTTCCCCCTCCCCGTCCCGACCGAACCACGACACGTCTTCTCTCTCTCGCTCTCCCCGCTTCTCCTCCGTCCTTCGTTGCTCGTTGCTCCAAGTGTCAGTCCCTTTCGGTGTCGCGGTGTGCGCGCATTACCATCCTAGCGTACACGCTCCGACCACGTACATACGCACGCGTTCGATCCTAAACTTTCCACCTTCTTTTTTTATTCTGTGCTTGTTGTGTATCTCCCGCGAACAGCGACCAACGTACAAGCCAGAGAAAGCTCGCGCGCATGTCAGTCACCGAGTGCGCCGCGTGTGCTTCTTTCACCTTGATGACAGCTCGAGAACGTTGACCAGGAAGAAGAGGACCATCGGATCGCAGCCCGAGCTAGCCACCAGAAACGATCGAACCAGAGACATGGACACGTATTCGGTGGACAGTGTTTGCCCGCGGTCTCGATGAAACGTGCTTCGATCCTCGATCTTTCCACCGGTAACACGGCCAGTTATCGACGGAGTCGATATTGATTTCCTCTATTCGCGACACGTGCGACTCTCGTGGTCACGATATTGGCCGGTGCGTCGTAAAAAAAAATCTAAAGGTCGTCCATTCGTGGTTTCGTTCGTCCAGTCCTTCGTCTCTCCGCGCGCGTTCCTTTACAACGCTGGGATTTCTCTCGAAAGAAACGGACAGAAATAATAAGCTGAACGATCGGACGGTGACAAACGTCGGAACTGTGCGGTTCCTTCGACTATTCCCCGGATAGAGAGAATACGCGTTTCGCCAGCGTGCTCGGCTGTGAGGGTGTATATCGTGTCGTGGCGACCGCACCCGCGGTAAAGCAGCCAAAATTCGGGTGAAGAACAGAGAACCGTTACCATCCTACGCGATGGAAATGAGCGACGAGTACCAAGACATGGGAAATCCCGGAGGAGGGGTGGCTATGGCCAACATACCCATAGCCCATCATCGACACACGCCCGACAGTCCTATGGTACGTGAGCTCCTTTCGTTACTATTTTTCCTACTCGTTACCCGCGATTTCTATCACTGTCTATCGATAGATGATCTATGCATTGCCATGTATACGCAGATAGGTCTAACGGATATAATTTTTATCACTTTCGTCCATACAATTGTTTCAACGATCATTTTAAAGCGAGATCGTTGCACAATCATGGTTACAAATCGACGTACAACTCATCGACAAACTACGTCTATGGCCCTTGACAAAAGTTGGACTCGATGTTTTGATTTCTTTTGCTAAATAATTCGTGGAAAGTTACGGTGCAGCGATACGCGTTGCGAGGCAAACTTATTGTTTGCCGGTTCGAGGAACACCAAGGTCTCGTAACGCGTTGCAAAATAACGACGTTTCGTGTTATTAGTCGTTCGACTATCGATAAAATTGCTCGATAATAAAGAACGATCGGTTTTTTACGTGTTTGTGTCGAGCATCCCTGGAAATACATACGGCGAAATGCCACGGCCCGCTACAAGGCCAGAGCAGTTTACAAACAATGCCAATCTCGTCGTTTCGTCGGCTACTCGGATCGTGGTTTTTCCGCGTATCTATGGTTATTCGTTTAAAAATCTTTTACCTTTTACCTTTTAACGATATATTTGGTACCGCGATATAAAATTACGTCGAATAAAAAGACGGCGTCGGTCGTGTTCTCTAGCGGAATTAGCTCTGTTGTTGTTGGCACGTATGTCCACGGTCGATTTAGTCTTAAACAACATCCTTCGATGACAGTCTTGGCTCGTATTTTGGTTTTCGATTTTGTTCCACCCGGCCGGTGTTGATTCTCGCGGTGTTTCGTGTTATTTTATTCGCACGATCCATTAACATGATAATTCGAGCTTCTTATATGCTTAGAATGGCGACCATCGGGATAATATTTCGTCGGAAGTTTAGAGAAGGTGTAACGCAGGCATGTTAAACACACGGACACGGCCTCGAGCATCGGAATTTGCGGCTCGACCTATTTCTTGCGAGCATTATTATTTGTTCGGAGCTCTAATCTTGTAATAATGTTGTACGTTAATAACGCTAGTATATCGTATGCTTTATAGTTTGTTCGCTTTTCTGATTATCCAGTAAAATATACTCTTGCTCGTTTCTTATCCTAAATTGTGCTCACCTATCTTGGATTTTTACCGTTCTAAATCAATACGAGTTTGGCGTGTCTGGTATTTATTTGTTTAGAAAATAAAAATAACAGTATTTTATCGGAAATGGATAGCGTCCAATAGCTTTTCCTCCAATTTGTACAAATGTCCCGTGACGTCATTAATATTCGGAAGGTGACGTCATGCTTGTATTTCCGACAGAGACTCAATATAATTATTAGGTGTACTATTTTCTGCTCGACCAGTGACGTCATCCGTGAAATATGTAAAATATCGGTTGTTTGCCGAGTAATTTCAGCAAAGTATCGTGCACGATCGTTAAGGCCCGTTTACTAAAAATCCTCGATCGCGGACAAGATTAATTTTATCGTGTTCGATCCGCAAACGGACGAATAAGAGCCGATAAATTATAAGTCAATACCTGATCCCATATAAATGTTCTGCTGATCGCGATTTACACCGATGGAAACGTCCAGTTACGGTCGTTTCGCGCCGCACAAATCGTAATACAGTCGTTGTCAGTTGCTATCTATCAACCATTTCCTATAATAAAGCAAGCGTGTACGCGTTGAAACTTCCATCGTCTCGGGTGTGGATATACTTTTTATACTATTGCTCGATCTTTCACGCGCCATAGCGATCTTACGTTCAAAATTTCGATCGACTCTTTACACGTATAAGACAAAATCACCTTCTTATAACGTGCATAGATCCATGTTGTTGAACTACACCTCCGCTTTTGTTATTGCATTCCCCTGACTCGTATTACTTTCAAATTGCACTTAACACGGGAACGAATTAACCGGGTTATAGGAGGGTTCACTGCTCTTGTGTGTTCAAATAGAACAACTCTAGATAACCGACAGATTATTACCGCGTTACTTGTTCCAACGAACCTGCGTCGCGTGACGATCGTTTCGAACATTATCGCGCGTTAGAAAACTGTAAGAGGTAAAAGTTTGATTTCTTTTTTTGTATAAACAAGATCTGTGAGAATGGAAGGCAAAGGGTTAATAATAATCCTAAGCAAAGTGTATCTATGTATTTCGGTTTGGTCCGTTCCCCGCTAAGATCCAGGACGATCCTCGCGTTTTTCGATCGTCGCTTCGATACGGTACGTTCGATTCTAAAAATACGATCGATAGAAGAGCCCCTCCCGCGCTCCGCTACGTTTAACAAGTTTTACGTAACGCTCACCGGCGATACGCGTACTTACGATTCGCGGGTCCACGGAGGGAATGGTCGCTCGGGACGATAACAGCCGTGTAAACGACGACGATAAGAGCGGGTTAATGAGGGTTTCGTCCCGGAAGGTCCTTATCGGTAAATGGTCGCGCGGAGATCCGGCGCGAGCGACGCGACGCGTTGTCGTTGCGCCAGGAGAGAGGTGTAAACACGGTCCAGCACCGATGTGATCTCTTGTACGTGTGTGCCATGCGTGAGGCGAGTCCCCCCTGTCCACCAGTACTCTCTGCGTCGAGTATTTGCACGCACTGTCGCGGGAGGGGTGCAGCGTTGCGAAAGGAGGGACGGAGAGAGGGGTTGTCGACCAACTAAGTAAAAGGGTGTCTTCCTCCTTTTAGGCCTCTTTCGGTCCATTTGTCTTTTTCTCGCATTTTATTCCATTTAATTAATTACTCGTTCTCGTATTCCCCCCGAGGGAAATGTCTCTCCTACGCTGCTCACGCACTCTGATGCGCTTCCCAACGAGTTTACACAGTTAAAAACAGTTACATTTACCTGGTGAAAGAAGGGCATGCTTCTATTCTTTCGTAAACTCTTTTTATATCGTTCGAACGTTAAGTGCTTCGGATCGTCGGGAATTATTCCTCGATAGAGGTTGTGCTCGTAGAAAGAAAGGAGGGGGAGGTGATTGCGCGTGTCGCGTGGAAGGAGAAAGAAAAAAGTGCTCGATAACGCTCCGGGAGCGAGATAGAGATAGCGAGCGAGGGCGAGAGGGCGCGAGAAGAAGGGGGGGTCAGCCGGGTTCGACGTCGGGCAAACGATGTGCCGAGCGCGGCGCAAGGGCGGGGATTCCCCTTTCGGCCAATCGGATCGACCAGCGAGTGCGCTCACTTACGCTGCTGGTCTCGCTGTTTCACCTGCAGACGCCATGTCGTGACGTCATGTCTCGTTACAGCGAGACCAGGTAAAACATGTGCGGTACCATCGTCGTGGCAGTGCCGTGAGCGCCACCCTGCAACGAGGATTCCCTTTCAATCTTTTCTTATCCAACAATTTCATATCGAATATTGTACTTACGCGTCCTGTTCTATGCATTCGATTCTATATTTTTCGATACGTCTATTCAGTTTCAGTCCACTATAATTCTACCAACGAAACAGTATTTCTTATCGATGTATTAATCGCAGTACCTACTTGTTGTTATTGATGTGGCTTACGTAAACGATGTTAGACGCTGTAACGAATAGTAAAAGTACAGGAGGATTTTAGATACTATCGTACAATAAATTTTTTTACAATTGCAATAATTATTTACCTTGTTCGTGAAAGTGAAAACACCCTGCGGAGTAACGTCTAGAAAAATGTCCTTGACAATGTGGCGGAGCACAGCCGAACGCTTGGATGTTTTATTATCGAGGGCTTGGTCGTGCGCTATTCCCCATTATCCTGAGCGAGGATTGCGGCGGGGCACAGACCTAGGCCCGACTCTCGAATGGTTGCAAACTATTATTCGGCCGTTTTACGATAGCTCTATAAAAATCTTATAATTAGATTTTGAAGGTAATATCCTGCCGGAGCTCTGGACCCTTCTTGTTAGATGCCCGGCCCGTAGGAAGACCGGCCTAAAATTGCAAACACCAATCTGCCTCCACCCGTGGGTTGTCTTTTTCTTTTCGTTTCGCGGATGCACCCGTGGCGTTCCGAGTCGAGACGAAAGCTAGCTCTCGACTCGTTTCGAACGATCGCCGGGACGCGCTCGTATCGCCGTGGTATGATTTCAACGCAAAAACGGACAAAGTTTCTATTTCGATAATCGATTTGAACGAGTCATCGTGTCGCGCGATTGCTGGCACGCACGTTGCAGCGCACGCGCGCGCGAATAACCGATGACGATTAACCGATAAGGTAATATGTAGTCTAATGCGATAGCCGTTGCACGTGCGTTCCGGTCATCCGTTACCTAATGCAGGGGCTAACGGGGTTTTCGAATAAAGCAACTGCGTCCTCACCGCGACCATCGTTCGATCCCGATTGATCGTACATTGTATACATTTCCTACGCTAAATTTATAAGCGAATAGTAAAGTTAAAAATGGAAACGTCGCGTCAGTTGAGATGCAAAGCACGAAAGAGCCCTGTCGCAACGATGAAGACGTTTCCCTGAAAGCAAAGGTGTGATCGCGACGAGTCGTGGAAACGGAGCTCGGTTTTCATAACTGGTAAGAGCGAGAGTGGATCGTGTGTAGGCGATTTTATCACCGTGGTCGTCGCGATGGCGTCAAAAGGTGGCTCGCGTTTCACAGGAGCGCATCGTCGGGATCCGCGTATCGCGCATGCATTTCTCGTTGCAGCTGCAATGCGCGTGATCGCGATCCAACGCGGCGGGCGCGGGCAAAAGGCATCGATGGTGGGGAATCAGTGTGCCCGCTCGGTGGACGCCGAGGGGGCGGAGGACCGAATGGAATAAAGAAAAAAAGCCGAGGACCAGCTTGAATCGCGATTGGTCCACGCTCGTGCCGCGGTCACGCCTGCTTTTATTTATGCGCCGCGCGGCTCCCTTGGACGCGACGCCGCCGCGACGCGACGATATCCTACGGTTCGATTTCGATTTCCCTTGCGCCGCGTAGAAAACCGTAATGGCAGTCCGCTGATACGCCCCGACATTCGCGGAATAATG